TTAACTGTTTGAATGTTGTTCGTTATTTGCTCGCAGGCACGCGGAAGTGATGAAGAAGATCATCGAGACGGTAATGGAGGGCGGCGGAGAATTAGGAGTGCATATGTATCTAATAATATTCCTGAAGTTCGTGCAGTCCGTCATACCAACGATCGAGTACGACTACACGCAGAATTTCATGTTAAACGCGTCCGGTTAAATGTATATCACACACTAGTGCGTTGTGATTGATATAAATCGCTTACAAAATACATTTATAGCGGATGCGCGCGAGATATTTATGTATCGATGTTTTACTACGCTTCTTGTCGTCGAGCATTGAGGATATTCGAGATCGCAAGGATACGAAATCCAAGACTGTGCTATTACAACGTGTGTCTTGAGCTTAAGAAGTGTCCCAACGATATGTGATGGTCATTCCCACAATTGCGAGACTTCAAAGATATTAAGTAAATCGTACGGATCTCGGCGTTGAGCACTTCAAGATCCGTTTGTTATACTCATCTCGATTGAGTTCGACGTAGACGTGCACCGGCACCAGATGTTTTTACATTCGCGGAACACAGCTGAGCACATATTATTTGACGTGACAACCGTTAGACAATAATGAAAGAATGAAGGCTACATTAAAAGCAACGAAGAATCCATCAACAGAAAGAGAAAGAGAGACGAAGAACTATATGAAAGTGATTTCTTTTATATATTAATAATTACTCAAACACATTCACTTGCTCTAGTGTGTCATTTACTAAGAAAATAAATAAAATAAAAAAGAAAAGAAGATAAAGGAAAAAGATGGAAAAGCTTGAATATTTATCGGAATCGATAAAATATCGCTACGAAAATAAATTGGCTATTACGAACATTATCAGTGTGACCAGTTTATTTACGATATTGCGCGCAACTTGAAACAGCGACACTACGATAGACCACCAAACGATTCCTTCTGGCCAACCTCTTCCCACACTGATTTATTTCCTTGCGTGTTGGTGATACACATAATTATTTGCCGTTCCGCCGATAGTCCACGGCATTTTCATGAGTTTAACGGCGCATAAATTAACATGAGCGCGATTGTACGAGCAGTTGATAATTATAGACTTCCATGTGGCGCGTTATCGCAGCTATTATTTTGATAAAACAATTAGATACATCTTGACGAGAGAATTCATCTGCCAAAGCAATTTTTTATTCTTGAATTCTAATATATCCTTGAATTCTGATTATTGTTAGATTTCCTTTTTCTTCACAGCAGTAGATTTTGAAAGGAAGATTTAAAAAGAGCTCCAAAATAATGATTGTTAAGATTTATTAACCGCCGACGTTTGCAATACATTGCAAATTTGAGAATTATTAATACTGCAATTCTAAGCAAATATACGAGTAAATCGTAAAATCGTAGCTTACGAATCGATTGTAATGTTGATAAAATTCACAAACCGTAACTTTATTGACAACTTCTAATTAATCGTAAGATTTACGAGAAATCGTAAATCTAGATATTTATGAGTTATCGTATGACGTACATACGGTCCGCATAAAATTGCAGATCTACTCATAAGCTCTTACGAGTCTTACGAAAACAAGTTACGAATTTTGTGATTTTGTCTAGAATTGCAGTATAAATTATCGATGAACTATCGAAGTTCCTTAGCGCTTCTCAGACAGTATGAGCTCTAAAAACGATGCATAAGATGACTTTAAGATGTCTCTCTTTTAGTCATTTTTTATGATTTTTTTATGATCTTTAAGAGGTGTCATAATTAAAAGACATCTTAAGTCATCTTATGCGTCATTTTTAGAGCTCGTGCTGAGTTTTTTCGTATCCACTTTTCTTCGAACGACTTTACGACTAGCTGCGTTAAATTACGACTAAAGCATTAAATTCTCCGCGTTAAACTTTTTGCGCACAGGAAGGATGAACATATCTCTGTGTGCGTTTCACATGCGTGCAACACTTTTTTTGTATGCACATAGAAAAGTGGTGCGACTGGTCGATATTGGATAACGAGAAGTCGCATAAAATATAGTCCGCATATATTAGCGACACCTTACGTATATGTTCATGCGCGCGAACATGAAACTCAGATCACTCGAGAATCGTTTCTCACCTTCCAGGACCTTCCGGAGCTTCAAATCCACAATGATTCGTACTTCTCATCAATTTGTCCTCGCCGTTGTCATAACATATGCGACTGCAGTTGGTAAGCATTAATGTATCCCCGAAATATTTTCCGTTAAAAATAATATTTTCGAAAATAAAAGTTGCGCAATTATATAGTATTGTGTAATGAACATAAGCACGTAATATACGAAATATATAAATTATTGTTTTTACAGGTGGAGTAGACATTGTGGGAGATCTCAAGAATATCTCCCTACGCTTTTACTTCGGGTATCTTTGAACCTTTATCGTTTGATATTTGCTCGAAAAACAAGATAAAGAAAACTACATTAGACATTTTTTTTTAACGATATCAATGTTTATTACAACGCGAGATAAAATGGACTTTTTCTATAAATTTATCTTTAATGTGCATCAATTCAAATATTTATGTCTCTTAGGACTACAATGAATGAGTACACTGATTACTCACTGGACAACGTCAATGCTCTGCAAACCAAACTAATTAATGACAGACGAACGGTGCTGTACATTCATGGTTTCACGGAGAATTTGGAGAAAAAAAGTGTACACACGATAGTGCAAGGTACATCTCTTTCGATAACGAACAGTCATCTATTAAAAGTCAACTAAATTATGCTGTGCTTTTTTAGCTTATCTAAAGCGAAACGATCACAACATTATCGCGGTAAATTACGCTAAATTAGCGAACGAATCATACCCAACAGTAGTGAAGAATGTTGCTAATGTTGGAGCCGTTCTTGCATTAGCTCTTGATAGTATGGTACAGGCAGGCTTCAATTCAAATAAATTACATATTGTCGGACACTCCATGGGCAGCCAAGTCGCTGGCCATATCGGTAGAAAGGTCAGCTTTCAGGTCCCCAGAATCACAGGTAGATATTAACTTCCTGCCAACCAATTTAGTTTCGTGCTGCTCCATACAATATAATTGTGTTTGTAATATAGTTGACGAAAAAATAAAATTGCATAGAATATTTTTTTATACCAAATGTTTTTAAATTTCCATAGTTTTTTATTGACTTTGTCTCAACAGCGACCATTGATACATAAAACAGCGACCATACATACATAAAAAAAGACAAAATATTCCACTTAAAAAAACAGTTTGAGATAATTCGAATTACCGACGAAGTTATGCGCGAAACGTTACGCGAGATTATTTTTATTTCTTTTATAGAGCATCGTATGGATATTTCGATAGCCGTTATCGAGACGAATTTGATATGACGCAGGATCGTTTAAAATCTCAATCGGAATTTCTTGTTTTTCTTCAGAAGTTGCGTTGCAATTATTGAACATTTTGCATTATAAAAAGCAGTGTTTAAAGATCTTTGCACACAGGTCTGGATCCCGCCGGGCCTCTCTTCAATGTCTTCGAAGAACGTCTGTCGTTGTTTGACGCACATTTCGTGGATATTATACATACGGACTATGGATTTTACGGCATCAGCAGGAACACAGGCACGCTGGATTTCTTCCCGAATGGCGGTCGCCGTCTACAACCCGGCTGCCCGCAAAAGTTCACGTTCTTCAGCAAAGAAGGTACGCCCAATGTATCCTCGAAAGCTCGAAGCGGTTAAACGATACTTCATGTTGATCGTCCGTCTGCCGTTTCAGAGTTTTGCAGTCATCATCGTTCCTGGGAATTTTATGCCGAGTCCTTGATCAACGAATCCTCTTTTTTGGGCGTGCAGTGTCCTTCGTGGTCTGACTTCTTGTCCGGCGAATGTAACAATTACACCCGAGTCACCATGGGTTATGGCGCTTCGAACAATACGTAAGCAAAAGGGAGATCTTAAATATAAAAATAATAATTTAAAAACGAATTAAATGTCATTGTTACAGAATTAAGATGTTACGACGTTTTGAAACACACTTATTTTATTTTCCTTTTCCTTCATTTTGCAGAAATGGAAGCGTTTATTTGATAACGGCCGCGCACAGTCCTTTCGGGCTGCGAAAAAAAGGAACTCAAGTTATCTCCGTATAGTGCGACGACCGACGACTGCATCGCATTTGAAAAGAATACAACGTAAGATCTAACGACAGGCGAACCTTACCAGTATAAAAGAAATTATCAGTACATTGACCTCTCAATGTCTCATACATTCTGCCACGCTACATCATCGTATATTAATGAACCAACGGGACTAATGTTTTAGTTCATTTATCATAATAGGCGGATAATTGTCATTATATTACTCCGTACATCGAGTCGTACCTCATGCGACAGCATTATTCCCAGGAATTCGATTTTCTTAAAGACATCATCCTATTACCGATCGGATGCCGTTATCACAATTCTATATTTATTTATCTCTGCCGTATTCTTGTGATTCGAATATCAATTTGTCGGACGTGACGGATTGTCGACGGTTAATCAATAATCTAATATTTATCGAACTGGTAATCAAAAGGTAATCAAAAGGTAATCAAAAGGTAATAAATTAAAATGTATCTCAGCGTTCGAAATCTTCTTAGTTTGATAAAGGTTTGGTTGATAAAGGTGAAATTTTAAACGAGAATTATTACGAGAATACTAAAATTTGTTATACGAACGTTTTGTTTAAAATATTGTATATTGAGACAAAATCCTAAAGTTACATTTCAAATAAAATCATTTTGAATAAAGTATATTCTATTTTTCCCATAGAATTTAATAAGTCCTTCGTGAACCAGCGCCTCGAGCATAATAGCATGACAACAAATTTAATTCCAATACCGAGTAAAATGTTTATATCGAAATTCACGGAATTATAATTTACCACATTATGATGTAATTTGATCAAACTGGTCTCTACGAAGCTGGATAGACTCCTGCATATCGATTGCTATAATAGTAGCAGTAACATTAATTTTTAACTGTAATAAGGCGGAATTACTGTCATAAAGCAGCGTGACTATAATAGCGCATGATAGAACATCGTAGTATAATAATGTCGTCCACAATAATTCTGTAATAATTGGCAAAACTTATACAAGTATGAATTATCTGTCGTAGCGGAAGTCGAGGTAATTTTTCTTCATGTGCTGAAGCGTGCGGGAAAACGATGTAGTATGATACGGTGACAAGAAGCAGCTCCGAAGACAGTTGGAACTACTTCGGAAAACTGTGCTGTACGACATATTTTGCTTTACATTACCTGTGAGACATCCCAAAATCTCCATTCGAGTCCAGCTGTCGAGCTTCAAGAATAATGCACATTCTTCCTTTGTCATTCGCGTTGTTGACGTACACCGGCTATTGGCGACCTATCGACTGGCCTTCGACTTCTATCAAGTATCATGCATACAACGTCTACTCCGTCGTCATGATCTTTCTGCTTCATTCGTTTGCGTTCTGTGGTCTGGTCGATTGTTTCATGCTCGAGGACCTCGAGACTTTCATTGAGAAGTTCTCGTTGTTTCTGTCGGTACTCGGCGTTTGCTGCAAGGTGATGAACTTGGTGATTCGTCGGAACGGAATCGTCGGTCTGACCGAGATGTTGCTGAATGATGTCTGCTTGCCCAGAGACAATCATGAGGCAGACATCCAACGACGGTTCAATCGTATCGCGAAGTACGTATCGTCCAATATCCTTACGCCAACTCTGTTAAATATATACCGTCATCAGTTCATAGAACCAAAAAACTCCTCAGAACGATCACCATCTACTGCGAGATACTGAATGAGTCGGCAGTCTTCTTCGCCACGGTCGCTCAGTTGCGGCATTTCGCAAAGACTCGTACCTTACCGCTGTCCGACTGGGTGCCCTATGATACCACATCCACGGCTGTCTACTGGGCCACCGTGCTGCACCAGACCATCGGTTTGATGGTCTGCGCGAATGCCAGCGTTGCACATGAGACCCTCATCTCCGGTTTCATGATACAGACTTGTGCTCAACTGGATATACTCTGCCATCGCGCTCGTATGTTGCCGGTCTTGTTGAGAAGAGAGGCCCAGAAACGACATGGCAGCGTCTCGAAAGAGGAGCTGAAGGAGCACGAACGGCGAATAGTTCGCGAGTTCGTCCATCATCATCGCTACGTATACAGGTGAAGATGAAAGAGGAGATGACGAGTGGTTATTCGTGCATAAAACATACACTGAGAAAAGAATATTTGAAAATTTATTTGTGGGATATAACGTGTGAATAAACTTTCATTCTTCTTTCTCTATAAAGAAATTTTCAAGCATTTTTTCTCAGTGCGTTGAATGAATAATCGCACTTTGCGTAGACTTGCGGAGCGCATCAACGCGGTGTTCGCATTGATGATTTTCGTGCAGTTTACCGTGAGTTCGACGGTGCTCTGTTTGAGTATCTACAAGATGTCGAAGAAGAGCCTGTTGAGCTTCGAGTTCGCATGGAGCTTATCTTATCTGGGTTGCATGCTCATGCAGATCTACTTGTACTGCTGGTTCGGCAACGAAGTGACGCTTAAGGTTGGTTGTAATATCAGTAATTCCAAGTTCAAGTTTATTCCTCGCATTGTACTCCTCGCGCTCTTACTTCAAGTTCAGAATTCACTAAGCTCGTCTTGAAAGCTTTGACCTTTATTCTTCATTCATACGCTTTTATTTCTACGCGCGCAGAGCGCTGAAGTCGGTACTGCTATTTACGAAATGGACTGGACGATGTTTTCCACCGACTTGATGAAAACTCTTTTACTGATTGCTACACGATCCAAGAAGTCCATTAGAATAACCAGCGGTCACATGATCGCCTTATCCAACGATTCGTTCATGAAGGTTAATAAAGATGACTTTATAATAATGTTAGAAAACGAATGAGAACATACTTGAAATAATTTGAAAACACATTTTACTTTCGTTTGTCGATTGATAAGATTAATTTAATGTTCATTTTTTCAGATCATCAAGGTATCTTATTCGGCATACAACGTTCTTAAAGATTCTTAATATAAGTGGCGTGTTCTTTTCGACCTTGCGTCACAAGAAAAACTCCAAAGAATTATTTTCATAATCGGAAATTGCATTTGATGTTTATATCATATAAATATTTTTTCTTAAACTCTTAAATATTTTTACTTCATATAATTTTTTACACTTCGCCTTTTCCGCTGATAATCCTGATTCCTTTGACTAATACGCTACGAAATGTATCCAGAAACGAATTAAGAAATTTCGTCCTTAATGAGATGGCAGCAACAACTCGCGGGAATTGGGAATAATTCGTGAACAATTTCGCCTTTATGGGAGATGGCGGTCAATTGACGATAAATAAACTTCTGCTTACATTTCGTTTTATATCCTGAGAAATCTCCGATTATTTGGCAAGCAGTATCCTCCATTCTAAAAACAGAATATGCATTACGTTATTTCGCAACGTTATATCTTGCTCTCATCATCATTCACGATCATATATATTCGTGTGTCTTCTTCTCTAATTTATCGTACATAAATATTAAAAGATTATCAATTCCTTATTTTTAAACATTTCTTAATGCAGTACTCACCCGCAATATTCGATTCTTATAGATTGGGTGAAATTCGATTTTTCTGATTGTACGATAAACAGCCAATCATTTTCGATGTTTTTGGCTGATCTCGGATTTATCAACTCTACCTGAAATTAGATCACTTTTATCAATATTCGCACAGTCGAACGCTGTAACATGGACAGTAAAACACGAGTTCAAAACATTTTTACATACCTTAGATTCACAAAGTAAATCTTCACCCACGTCTATCCGGTGTGAGATAGTTTCCACCTGTTAATAAGGGGAGAAATGATTAAAAAATGATAAATTAAAAAGAGTACACAAGAAAAGATATGATTTTACTAACGGCGTCTATGGTCGCGTAATTCATCAAGGAGGGGTTGTCGCTGAGCATTTTGTTTATGAAGTCGTTCGGATAATACGGGTCGTTTAGGCAGAAATTTTTATTTTTACAAGTTGGCACTAAATTGGTTTGGTATACTGTATTGCCGTCGTCGTTACGCGCTAGCAGAATTTCGTCCGGGAATAATATATTATCTTCAGCTGCTTTACTCTTGCGATTCTTGTCCTCAACTGTACACACAAGAGCATTATGTATTAAGTATTAAGTATTAATGTATTTTAAGTATTAAAATCTTTTTTATCATTTTGTAGATTGACGGAGAGATAAATTTTAATAACTTTCATCTCGATCGTTGAGGTATTGTTTTGAAATCTTCATACGCTACCTCGATAATACGACATAACTTTTCCGTTTTCCACATTATCAGTATCATCATATGATTCCGAGAGAAGTGTTTCATGGTCTTTCGAATGTTTGCTATTCATTGAATTACGACTTAACCATCTGAATGAATAGTAGTCGCGATTACGTTGTGCTTCTAAAATGACCTGGAAGAGAGGGAAAATAAAACTTGGTTCTCTCTCTATATTCATCCTCCTTCTCATTGCTTATTTATCTTTCTAAAACGCAATTGAGAATATCCACACAGCAGAAATGTTCCGAATATATCACGAGGATATTATAAACATATCTCAATATCTGTAGGATAACTTTATGATACATTCGGGACATTTCTGCTGTCTGAGTATATTCGCGCTCTCTTAATTGATATCTTACTACAATACTTTCACATACTTCACTTTCACTTCCAAAGTACAGTAAAATTACTACAGTAAAATTAAAGTACGTTTCGATATTCACTGCCAGTATATTGTGAATATATAATTTATGTCACGTATCCTATAGATTTGAAGTATTGACAATGAATATCGGAAAGTACTTTAGCGTTATCGTATCTGAGACACGATATTGCAAAAACTTTCTAATATCTTGATCAGTGACTTTTCACGGAATTGCGTTTCTTCTAATTTTGCGAAACAGTGTAATTGATTACAAATGATATAAGTATTTCAAACGATTTTTGTATAGTCAGATTATACGAGGGTGGTCTGAAAAGTTTCCGACCTAACAAAGATACAAGTCATTTTTTCTGAAAATTGTTTTTTATTTTTCAACATAGTCTCCTTGTAAATCTACACACTTCTCCCAGCGATGCTCCCATCTCTGTAACCCGTCGAAATAGTACTCGGCGTTTTTCTCTGCAAAATAATTGTTCACGAAGGTGATTGCCTCTTCATTTGACGAAAATCTCTGTCCTCCGAGCGCAATTTTTAGATGAGGGAACAAAAAGAAGTCGCTTGGGGCTAGATCTGGTGAGTAAGGTGGATGGTCAAGCAGTTCAAACCGTAATTCGTGGATT